TCTACGTGTAAAGTCATTACGAGTCCGTGAGCTCGAATGTCGAGCTCCTCCAGAGCCTCCCATCTGGGACTTCCGTCGACATTCTCATCTAGATACTTCTACCTAGACATTCTCACGAACGATATAGACGTCCAAAAGATATCCGACGAAATTGGGGGTATCTTTAGAGCTATTACATTGTAACCGAGTTAACTCCAATGGCTGATGAAGTAGTCTTCAGTCTGAAAGCATCCGTCGGCAGCCATTGACATCTTCGATCTTTCTCTCGAGAACCTGAGGAAAATTCTGAGCGACGTCCCTCGCGATCGCCTGCAATTCTCTCGACTTCATCCCTTCATCCAAGTGTGATCCTCGCTCTTGTTCCGCCACGTCGGCCGACGTCAGTCGTGCTCACCCCGAAGAGATCCATCCACGACGTTTCCGATTCCCTCCCCGCGAACCTGAGGAAAATCCTGAGCGACGTGTCTTGAGCCATCTCGATTCTTGGATCCTTTCCCACGCGGACGACGCGAGTCTCACTCCTGCTCCACGCTGATGTCCACCGTCCTCACCCTGGACGAGTCCGTGGGCAGCAGCTGAAGGCGTTCGGGCTCCGCGTCCAGCATGATGATGCACATGAAGCTCTTGCCGGACGCCTGATCTCTGGGATAGATGGTCACCGGCGCGAACTTGTCCACCGAGCCGTCCACGTAGGAACAAAGTTTCCGATAGACCTGGGGGAAGTGCCGCCTCAGGGAGACCCCCCTGAGCCTGAGCTGCCGCTGAATATTGGTGAAGCTAATCTCTCGCGCTTTTCGCGGTGTGTTCTGACCGTTGTTACCGGGTAGCGATGTCAGCACGAGAGTCTCGGGCGAGTCCATCTCTCTGGTGATGTTGCAGGGAGACGCGGGGGCGAGCTGTTGCGACAGCCTCCGCCTGGCCTGCGGGGACGCCGAGGAGGAGGAGGCGTGCTGCTTGGCCGCGCCGTCGAGCCTGATCTTCGCGCACCTGGATACCAGTTGCCGTTCCCACCTGACCGCGCCGCTGGTCGGCACCTCGCTGACCACGCACACCGCCACGTAGAGCACCAGCCGCGCTTCCGGGTTGTACGTCTTGCAGAGGCGCATCAGCTCGGCGTAGAGCTCGGCGCCCATCTCGCCCGGGAGCAGGTCCGACCAGCGCACGTACGTGGGCTCGCCGAGGTCGGCGAAGCCGTTGCCGACGAAGCGCTCGGCCGCCTCGGGGCTCGAGAAGAAGCACTTGACCGCGCCGCGACCGTGTGCGGCGTAGCCGCGTCTGGCGAGGGCGGAGATGTGCTTCAAGGTGGCCGGGTCCTCCTTCGCCGAGGACAGCACCTGGCGGCAAAGGCTGCCGGCACGCGAGTGCAGACAGGTCCTGCGATGACGTTGCCAGTGGGCTCGTCGACATTCGCGCGAGCAGTATAGGCAGGTGCAATTGTGGCAGCTCTTGTAGGTCCTTCTCGCCTCGGCCAGGGTGGTCGAGTTGCCGCATTTGTTGTTACGACACCGCACCACCTTGTCCATCGCCGCGCTGGTGGTGGTGGCTTGGGCGTTGTCGACGAAGGACACCCTGCGGTGGGGGTGGAGGCTGCCGCCGCCGCCGCCACCGCCACCGCCACCGCCACCGCCGCCACCGCCGCGCGGCATCAGCGACGAGGATGACGCGGCCACGGCTCGCGAGGCCGGCAGCGTGTCGCTGCCCTCGCTCTTCCGTCTCACCAGCTCGCCGGGGTAGAAGTTGCGCTGGTCGTCGACGGTTGCCTGGTGAACGTCCATCACGCTCTTAGCTGACTCTGCGACAGGTCAGATCGATTGCCTTTGTCAGTATGAGTATGGCAGGACGGGGCAGGGTCGATAGGAGAGACGATGAGAGAGGTCGGAGAACGATCGTGATTAAACTGAAGAGCTCTCCTCAAAATCGTGAATTTTATTAAAAAGCGAAGATGCATCTTTAAGCGTATATTATCCTTGCAAGATTTTCATGCAGCTCTTTGCAATGTGTAATTTCTATATATTTTCAAA